AAAAAAAAAAAAAAAAAAAAAAAAAAAAAAAAAAAAAAAAAAAAAAAAAAAAAAAAAAAAAAAAAAAAAAAAAAAAAAAAAAAAAAAAAAGGAAAGAAATAAAAAAGTTTGGCTTTAGGGAGTATAGAACTGGACAATATGGTAGGAATAGCTTTGCGTAAAATTCTGATTCACCATTCTCGGGACGGGCCTTGTGATATATCTCTTGGATCTATCACACTTGATTGTTTTTGTGGGAAGCGCTAGAGGGCTATTCACATGCCCCCCAGGTATATTTTGCTACTGTAGCCCAGTAGCAACATACATCTTACAAGACTTAATCATGACAATATTGGCCTCTGGAGATACCAGCTTTACACAGACTTCCTGTCGCCATCGTTGTATCTATAGTGTTAGTCGAATAACATCAATCTCATCCCTTGTGTCCAGGGTTCTTCAGCTCTTGATTCAGTCCCCAGACGATAGATATATCACATCCATGAATCGGGGCGTATATCGATATAATCCACTATCTTGGAATCTAACTGGACGGTCAGACCTTGAAGACTGTTCCGGCACCCTGGGGATCGTCCCGCCCGCTTCACCTATGAAGCCACCAACCCTTGACAAATTCCCTTCTGGACGTGTTCCACGGCACTAGCATATCCTGCCAGAAATATACAGTGTAACTGTGGCTTGAGTGGCTCTTACTGACTCAAAGGCATATCAGTGATTATTGCCATGTGTGCAAACCACTTGAACCATGTTCTTGTTCAAAGGATACATCATCAATCAGTCCTATCACAGCCCTGAGATGAACAAGAGTTCCTAATCTGAGTGAAACTTATGATTTGACTAGGTTTACTTACAAAGACCGTATAGCTACACTCTGTTGGTTGAAAGGCCTTGTGTCAATTCAATGTATATAGCCTGAGCAATTAATGTGCCAGGGGCGGGCTTCTTCCCCCCGTCATCTCCCTCTCTCTCTCTCTTTCTTTTTTTTTTTTTTTTTTTTTTTTTTCTCCTTGTTTCATTTCTCACTTAAAATAGGAGCTATCACTACCATCCAAACCTTATAACGAAAGATAGCGCGATCTAAGAGTCCCAACTAGGTGGCACTGAGATCTACCCCTGTCACTTTAGCCCTAGTCTTTGCATATGCGATATCCATTCGGACTATTGTATGCGTCCCAATGCAATCACCTACGGGGAACTTCTTCCCCCCGCTGCTCTCTACCTAATTTTAATAGATAGACTTCAGGCTCTCCCGCTACTCTTGGATATAAATTCTCGCTCGGATATATATCTTACTTCCATGGTATCCTGGTCACGGTTCAATCTAATACGCATCTGCGACCTGCCCATATTCTATGCTTCAATTATACTCCTGTTTTACATCTCAAGGGTATTGATATGATTACTTCAAGAAGGTTTTCTAATTCTTGATGATACCCTGGTCCTCTTTGTCATATACTGTCCTCACCTATAATTCTGATACCATCTTAAGCTATTCCGTTCTTCAAGTACACTACCGTGAACATATGTGCACTTGAATACGACACCACTCTTCATTGGATCCTCTGGGACTTGGTGCACCATCGGGTTTATTCCTCGGCGAACGCATACGCCTGCTTTTTTTCTACCATCGCTATGAATTTCAATGTGTCTCGACTTTCTCTGCCTTGCGTACTAGGGGGAGTCTCCTTCGCGTTAACCTCCGTGGTCACCCTTCTCGACGGTTTATGCTTGACATCCTTCAAAAACCTCTCGTCTAATATTCGCTCAATCGAATCTGCCGTTACCGCCCTGGGCGCAGTGAATTGTGCTGTGCTTGTCGCTGCGATCTTATTTTGGCTGGCAGACAGCAACAATGAGAATTTAAGGCAATTGAGCGTGTACCGAAGCCGCGCATATTGTATCCTGATTATCTACTTGGTTATGACTACAGGGGTGACTGCTGGAGGTATAGCATGGAGCAACGCACAGATCATGATAGAACAACAGATAATGTCACTAGGTCCAAGACAGCGACTATTGTTGGTGACTCGTACTGTCATATGGGCAATTTCTGTTCTAACTGAGGGTCTCTTTGGTGGGCTTCTCCTAATGACACTAGCAAAACGGACCAGCCGCAGCAGATGGTCAACCCCGCTACCTCATGACCTTGATGCCCTCCACGAACAGTTAGCTGTAAACAACAGATTGGAGTCAACAAAGCAGCCGCAACTTGTAGTTGACTCCCCGAAGCAATCGACAGATCAAAAGCGGAGCTGTGATGGTTTGATCGCGATCCAACAATCTACATCAAGTGCTGCGTCTTTAATCTCGAAGCGCTACTCAGGCCGAACACTATACCAACAGGATTCCAAGCACGGTTCTGTTGACCTCAATCCACCGGTCGCCTATCCTGAGTGCGTTGTAATGCGCAATACGTTCGATGGCTGCCCCTACGAACATAACGATTGCACTGTGGGGGCTGATGGTGACTCTAGGTCACGCAAGACACAGGGGAATAGACCAGAGCTTAGGTGCTCGTTGGATACTTTGCGACGGCAATATTCATTAAGGAGGTCATGGGATACGTCAAGATCACTTCAGCCAGAGGCTCCTATCAAGGGTGACCACCCAAAACTAACACTGTCCGATGAGAGTAATATTCATCCACTTTTTCGCTCTAACAGTCCAACTCCCCCGCCTACACCCATGCCTGGGACCACCGTTATCGCATCTCCGGCGGCTGGACAGACCATCTCTATGAAAGCGTTACATAGGATGAGATCGACCAACTCACTCCGGTCTTACACCCCACGAAGTCGGTCACCCCTGTTTGAGCGAATTGATCAAGCCGACGAAGAAGTACATCCAAAGACAGGGCCAGGTAATGGTCGGTGTGAGCCTAACAATGACCAGACATTCGCAATACCAAATTTTGTCATGGCTGCGGATCTGCGAAGGAGCATAACACAGTATGAGAAGAGGTACGATCTCATAGAATCCCCTCATGAAAGCTAGGAGATGATGGCTTCAACTTAATTATGTCATTGAGTTATGTCTTTCCTTTGTCACAATTCTCCTTATTTTGTTCTTAGATATCCCAGGTGTAGTGCATCTTTTGTAATTAGCAATATATTACCGATGAAAACTGTATAGACGCAACTGAGTGATAATAAAGCTTCCTTCTTATTAGATACGACTCAATCTTGAATCTGTTGTACTACAGCTGCCATGACATGAATTAGTACCACCACATAAAGACATATTATTACCGGTCGATATGACTATAAGGAGTGCCTGAATCGTATTAAGTTCGTTATGGAAAGTGTCATGGCAGGCCCCTTCCAGAATTCGAGGCTTTGGCCAATGCTCAAAGGTTTGTATCTCGGTGAGCCTCAGGGCAAGGATCATAATGCACTGTACAACGTCCTGTAACACACCAGTTTCAGCATACATAATGCGACTAAATTGGTCCAGCCGTGCTCTTTGAGACAGTCCCAGTGAATCCCGTGATATAGTATCTCTAACATGACTATCCATGATTGATGATAATATCTATGTGGGTCCTCTTGGTACGGCAGATACTAATAAACTGTGATGGAACTGACGGTGAGGATGGGGCTGCATGGTTGCATGCATGTTAGGCCCTCATTATAACATCGACTTTACTCATTTCGCAAAACTAGCACATTCGGAAAATATCTTTCGACGGTGAGAGGACATTAAAGAATTTTTACGCCGACTTTTTGAAGTAGTAGTCTCGTACCTAACGCAGCTGCAATATCTCAAATGGGTACAGCTTCCCCTCACTTCTTCTCTTTTGTCGTGAGGATTACTTTGCTCTTCCTGGCCTATATCAGTCACGGAATGGCGTCGCTCTTACACATGCCTTTGGACAATGGGACCTTTCATCATTCGAAGGCTCAAGTTCCATGGTGCTTGAAGGATTCCAGATCATTTAAGGCATAGTATTTTGTATATTGTAAGCGTGTGATGTAGTTTTAGTGGCAAAGCAGACTAACCTATACTTGAGATCTGAGAAGGATATTCCATCGCTCAGTAGGTGTTTCACCCCGCAATTCAACTTGAATACCTGTGCTAATGTTTCGCTTCTTTGCTTTTATTGTCGCCAATGCTTTTTCTGCAATCGAGACAAGATACATTGGTATAAGTACCAGTATAGGCAAGATTTGCATTACTCGAAGTAGACACTATCTTTAAACTAGCCAAGATAGATGGTGTTCTTGTAGCCTCATAGAACAGATTTTAAGAATTTGTTATTGCTTTTAACAATGACATCCAATGGCACTGGAATAATTTTCCCTTCGCAATTCGATGAGATTGGATACTACGTAAGTTCCGTACCTTTGGCAGTATCGGTATTGCACGCGAAACACTAAATTTCTTTTTCCTTTTTCCTTTTCCTTTTTTTTTTTTTTTTTTTACATCAGCAGGCAGCGGACTAGCGTGCACGCAAACATTACCATACCACGAGTATTACCAGATGGACTAAACCCGTGTAGGAGGCTTTTTCTGGTAACTAACTTCCAGAACTAAAAAACTACAACTCATTATCACCCTTGCATTCCACAACCCCAGACCGTTTGAGGTCTTTTCTATCTCCTGAATCATCTTCTGTGTCGGGATTCCATTTTTACATACACATTTCCCATCTCTTCCCAGTGGATTAAAGGGCTGAGAACAAGAAGAAGGGTTTGTTTGTTTTTTTTTTTTTTTTT